CAGAGAAGTGTGTGACGTAAATGGTTTCCTTTGGTGCAACATATATGCGCGCAGAGATTTCCGGATTCTTCCGCTTCTTGCTCCTTTCTTCGACACACAGCAAAATTGGGAAGAAGATAAATCGAACCTACCTCGGTTAAAGCCTTCTTATCAGCGACTCTGGCACTTTGTAAAAGACGTATCACGTTCTTGGCACCTTCCACGACAGCTGCCCTCTATTCGTAATCGATGCCGTAGTTCTTCCACCCTCTCCTCCAACGCGAGCTCCAAACTGGGCTCGTACCTATCTATAAGTATATTATTACGTTTATTACTTTACATTACAAATTCGTTACACAAATTGCATTACAAACTACCAGGGTTTAACTAATAACTAGTTCAAATTTTTAACTTCAAACTAGTTATTTTTTAATAAAAGTATTATTAATTTTTATGTTCATTTGTCATTAGTTGTAATTACAAAAAATATATTTCTATATAAATATCAAAATTTCTTTGTTATTTATTATTATAAATTTTAAAAGAATTAAAAAACAAAATTCTAACTTAAATAATGTTTTTAAAAATTAACTTTTGATTTAATTTCAGTTAATTTAATTTTAACTTAACGTTAACTGACAATGAGTTAATTTTTTGTTCGTGCAACTTTTAACTTAACTTAATTAATTTTACAAGCAACTAACTTTAACTTAACTTAGTTGAAAAAAATCATTAACTTATTCAATCCTGCATGACAGTAATATTTAGTATTCAAATTTTATATATTACAATATTATAATTAGGTATAAAATTAAAGATAGAATTATATATATATGCATATTATAATTGATTTTATTATATTATAATATAAGACACATTTTAATATCATTGAATAAATTAAAAAATTAAATATCAGTAATATTATAATTAAAAAAAAATCAAATTAAAATATGCGTGCAAAATATATACAAATAAAAATTAACTTTTGATTTAACTTCAGTTAATTTAATCTTACTTAACTTTAACTGAATTAATTTTGTGTTCATCATGCAAACTTTTAACTTAATTAAATTAATTGTATAACAGCAACTGACTTCAATTAACTTGATTTAAAAAAATTATTAATTTACCCAACCCTGCAAACTACAATAATACTCGTACAAAGCGCATTCTTTCATCTGTTTCGCGATTATCTTTCTTATATACGCGTGTATCTACCACCCACGTGTAACTTTATGTAATGGAAAAAATGAGCCATTACGCGCGCGTAACGAATATATCCTTCTGGCAACAAAGCGTTTCCTTCCAAGAAATGTCATTTACTACGAATGATGAATGTATAAATCACCATTGTGCACTTCTACTATTGAATACGTGGCATACAAATTCCTGGATGAGATACGAACGCGTATCGCGTATCCTGGAACAGTTTTCATTACTGCGGTAAATGTCAGCTTACTGTCTCTATCTCTCTCTCTCTCTCGTTCTGTTGTTCCATGTAAACTTGGCGTTTTAACAATGACAATGTATACAGCTCAACTATATGGTCAGTTGAACAATTAGAAAGCGAAGTCGACAATATGAGATGTCCGACAGATAATTTACCGAATTTTCTTCTGCCACGTGTATATTTTCATATATTTAAATAAACGCAACATATTTTAAAGAAAAGAGATATCTATATAATATCACAAATTTAATTAATTTATTTTTAAATTTTATTGCTATCTCAGAAAAATTTTGCCAATTATTTGATTTGCAAAAGAAATTTTTTTAGCACATGTATAAATATTCTCGACTATTGTCTCTTTTTCTAACACACACATATTTTTGTTCGAGGCAAATTATTATTATTAATAGGAATAAAGATAGGATCGAGTTGAATATGTACAAAAAAATACAATTCAAATCCAATAATCAAGTTTGTTTTTCGTATAATATTCATGAAAAATCGTATTTTATAAATATCCTAAAACCATCGGATTTCCTTTAAGTGGCAGGTCATTTGAAAACAATTTTTCCTCAGTGAAGAAATGTCGAGGCACCGATAATTTTCAAGTTTTAACCGATTGAAAATAAAGGATTTTTCGCTAAAATCTATAACTAAATTTTGTAAAATAAAATGTAAAAAAATCACATTCTTCAGTTAATTTCAGGTAGATTTGACTAAAATAGAATTTTAATTTAAGGTTTTGTTACAAATGATACATTAACGCAAAAATTAGGAATATGCAAAAAATGATGATGTCGCCGACATTTTCACTGAGGAAAAATCGTCTCCAAATGATCCCAAGAAAGCATTATAATTGACTATTTACATGAATCGAAATAATACTTCTACTTTCGTGAAGAATCGAATCTTTACGAGTAGTCCTCGAACTCTAAGATAAAAAAATCTATTTATAATACTTGCTACACATCCACACACTCACACTCCCCCTATCCTACTTACATACTTATTCACCCCACTTTCTCTTAAGTATCTTATAAAAGATTCAAACATACTTGAACCAGGTTCAAATGTACTTGAACGTAGTTCTCTTGTTTTTAGTACTTATAGGGAACCCAATTTATCGAGGTTCGAATTTATTTCAAAGTAATGTTATTTCGACGACGAAATAATTATAAAGAGTTCGAAATATGCAACAAATTCGAACCTATTTGATGAGATACTTAATCCCATCGTTAATTATTAATAACAACCATCATATATATTATATATTAATATATAATTATCAATATTAATAATACTATATATTATATATAGTTGTAAATATTAATATTATACATATATTAAAATATAATTATATATATATCAATATTAATAATATATTAATATAATTGTCACCACGATTAATATTTAATTAATTATATTAATATATAAATATCAATCTCTCTAAATTTCTTGGAGTGGGATCTCACTCCATTATTAATATATATATAATATAGTTATTAATATAATATATAATTATTATTTTAATATATAATTATATTAATATATAAATTACTCCAAAAGAGTGGAATCTCACTCTTTTGGAGTAATTTATATATTAATATAATTATATATTAAAATAATTATATATTATATTAATAACCATTATATGTAGTACCATTATATATACATATATATACCTTTGTTACTAGTTGCTTCGCCATTCGGTGGCAATGCGTCGCCTCGTTGCTGTTTTGCTTGGCGAACTTTCATTATTCGCATGCGTAGGAACTCGATTTTGGCGCGAGAATCGTCTAGCATTTGTTGAGCCTCCTGTAGCAATTTCTTGTCACGATGGCCGCTCGTTAAACTCTGTATCATATTTTCAGCACCCTGCTTCACCTGTCGCAAATATAAACGGGAAGAGATTATATATGTATCATTTTCCATTAAAGTGGTATTAAAATTAGTATTAATTTGTTACAAAAATGTATCATTTCATTAAAAAAAGGAGAGAAGGATAATTGAAGACAAAACTTTTGTATTAACACGACGACGAAGACAATAAGAATGTTTGCATTAATAAAGAAGGGAAGAGTTGAACGCATTATTCTAATTCATAATATAACGAGAGATTATTTTTAGTAGAGAAAAAATATTGCGCTGATTCACGCAAGCTCTGATACAGAAAAATGGAAAGAACTACCAAAGTTCTTTGCGGAAAAGCGCGTAACAGCTATGCGATAATTCTGAATCATCCCAAAGAATTAATGATAATTATTACTAAGAGGAGACACTCATTGTCTCCTTATCAAGTGTCCTCCGATATCGCGCAGCAATTCGTAGAAATATACATGACAATTCTGATATCGCATGACGTCATCATTCACGAAGTGTATCAGATCATCAACTTGCGATCTTGGAAATGTTAAGGAGAGTTTAGAGTTAGGCTCTCCTCTTTAGCGGCATCTATCTACTACTTCAGTTCGATATTGAGCTGCTTCTCCAAGGACAGAAGCCGAAGATCCGTGAATAGACCTTCCTGACTCGGCGACGAAGGCCCCATCGGTGATAGAGGCGTGTCTGAAACAGAAATAGAAGCGTTCACCAAACGAAAGAATCTGATGATACGGATCTGACGTATATCAGCGACACCCACGTGACGACTGAAGCAAAACGCGAACGAAAATACATTTTACCAATTTTTCTCCAAACACGCATTCCTATCCTCGCGCTTTCTAGGTCTTTCCGAATTTATCCGGGCGCCGCCCATATTCAATGTTGCCCCCTATCCAAAATAAGGCTTGCCCATTTAGGACCTAATTAGGATATGGTTTTTGATTCTTTTTTTTTAATATTATTTTTATTTATATGCTTAGAGTCTATCTCGGGTCTGATTAGGTCAGCAATGTTTTTTCTCATAACATTTTGATTTAAGCATGCCTAACTAAATACCTCATCACTTAACACGTTATTTCAATGACTCAATAAGGGGTTCATTAAAATTTCATTCAGACAGCAATATGTTCTTTTTTATCGTGGTCCTTTTATCTTATAGGCTCGACTTACAAAGCCACATTGGCTCAAGCTAAATTGTTATATTGCTCCAAGTTTGGAAAGCATTAAGAGCTCTAGATAAAAAAAAGTATGACAACCCGAGTTTGGATCAAAGTGGCGCCCTAACTTGGATCTCAAATAAAGTTAGGAAACCTCAAATAAAATTAGAGTCCGGTTATTGCCTAGGAAAAATTCCCACGCGGATTTCTAGGTCTTCTTATAAGTATCCCTCTTCTTATATTAGGATTTTTTCGCATCTTCATCTTAGTTAAGCGACTCTCTGTTCCGCCTCGAACGCGTGCGCGTCTCTCGTATATCTCTAGACAATCTCTATGATTTGATAGCTAGATTATTACGTACAGCACACATGTTAGAGGAGGGAGATCCTACTTTCCATAACCCAGAGTGCTGACACGTTAACGAGTTGTTCCGACTCCCACGTATTCGAGTGTGGAAAGAAGCAAAAAAAAAAAAAGAGTGACGTTCCGCTTTGTTTCAGAGAAACGGCACCGTTATAAATAATTCCCATCTCTCGAGCCTCCTTTTCGCTCATCCTATTACAATAAACGTCTTAGAGACGTCTTAGAATCGCCCTCTTTCTCTCTTTGACCGGTGTCCTCTGCGCAAATCGTTATATATGCAAATCGAGCTTGCGGCCGCAATTTATATATACGTAATATAGCGATATTACACAATGCACAATAAAATGCACATTTATAACTCCGTACACCGGAACACGGTGTGGGAACCCGCAGGTCGTAATTACGGGCGTTATTTCCGCGCCTGCCGGAACTTCCAGCAATTACATTAATCAATGTACCTTACGTAATCGTATCTTTTGTTATACGTATATATTTTAAATTACCGGGGAGAAGGCAGAAATGCATTTTAATGAGTCTTTAATCCTCTTCATTAAGGACATTTGCACAAAGTTTAATGGAAAAAAATGTCAGTTCCAAAGATAGACGTTTCAGAGTAGATATTTCGAGTCTACTAATTGTACGCGATGTTTTTTTCAGGGAGAGGACGACAATTTACGTCATCATACTCGTTATTGGTCTACGCAGGCGCTCGGTCACGAATTTAGAGCTCGTTAGGGGTCCCCCGATGTGGGGCACTTTTCCCTCCATTGAAATGTGCCCCATTATGCACTCGTACCTGCGAGGAAGCCACCGTAAACACGTGCAGGCCACGGTTCCACGATTTCCCCGCATGCACGCACATAGATGCATATATGCACAAACATACACACACACATACATACATCACGATAACGACGCGTAGCGTCCGTTCGTTCAACGCCAATGAAACGAACGGCAGCAACACGCACATGTACCGTATATACACACGTCTATGTACACGTCGACATGTCCAAATAAGGCGAGGCAAAGACTGGATACTCGATTTTTTCTCCCGAATATTTGATATTTATCGGCCTTCTGCCGATGCATGATTTTCCACCCTTTCCATCGATGTAGGGTACCTGGGTACCGATCATATGTTTTTGACACATCACATAATGTGATGATTTCTTTTATAACAGCTGCTCAAATATTCTCTCATTCTTGTTATATTATATTAGGACATTTTCGAATAAAAAGCTCTTTTTGCATTTTATTTTGGAGAAAAGTTCCAACGCATTTTTGACATTTGAAGTTGTTAAAATGATAAATTGAACAACTACTGTATTGTATATAAATAAAATAAAATATGAAAAGGAACTAGGTAATAAAAAATGATTTTAAAATTCTTTTATACTTATTTTTATGTGCCAAAATATATAAAGAAAATTAATTTTAAAATAATTTTGTTGCACCTAATATGTGTATCTGGCTTTTACTAATCCTTTTTATATTTAAATTTGTATTTACATACCTAGCGTTAAAAAATTAAACCGACAAACTTAAGGAGAAAGAAAACTTCAAAATACATTTTTTTTGTTAATACTAATTATCTCTACAACGACAATTTTAATTTTAATACTAATATTAGATATGAGTTTGTGATTTTTTAATTTGTCTCCTTTTATAATATTAATATCTATACCACAAAAAATATGTTTGATTAATATTACTATGTACATATTACTATTTTTGTTATGGTAAATATTAATTAGAGAAATTCTTATAAAATTCTTCCAATACCGTATTATCCCACGATTACTATGATTTTCAAGGTAAATTCTAAGAAAAAATTTTCTCCGTGTAAAAACGTCGTAGAGAAAAATAGCATTAAAAATTTATTTTAAAGTCTTCCATTTCCCTTCAAAGTTTGTCTGTCTAATTATTTTAAACACTGTATATCAGAATCTTTTTGAGAAATTTATTTTTATTGTTTCATTTTATTATGTTACTTTCAAAATAATTAAAGAGCAATTTAAAAACGATTTTGATGCGCCAAATATTTGTGCTTAACTCTTAAAAGTCCTTTTCTTATTTTTTTTTTCTTTGCTTCCAGTACCCATTCATTCATTGACAAAGAGGTAATAAACTTCATAAAAAAATATATGCTAAGTTCGCGTTTGACTGACATAAACAGTGTCACCACACGTCTAACATGTCCATGATGTTATTTATGTCCGTTTAGCACAGAGATATAATTGACACATTCCGGGAAGTCCTACAAATATGTTAGATTAGATATAATTGATACTATACAGAAGGGAGAGTTTTATACACATTGCAGAAAAGAACATTATGGAAGAAGCACCCGATTGACAAGAATCTAATTATCCTAAACAAATTTTATCGACTTTGCATTGACAGTTCTCTAGCTCGGACAATCGCACAAAGATCAGATCAGGGTGTATACTTAAATTTTATAAATAAATTCCCTGAGGATTCCATGATTTTTCAGGTATTTTTGTTCAAAATCCAGATAAAATTAAAGTATTTAAAAAAATTTTAAATACAATTTTAAATTAAGTTTATTTTAATTAAACATAATTTTTTAACATAAATAAAATATTGTTTAATATAATAATAAATATTATATTTTATAATAAAATATATTTTAATACTTTATATAAACCTAATAAATTTTATATTCCTTAAAAGTATATTTAAAAATAAAATCAAAGGACAATTTTTTAAAAATTCCCTAAGTTTAAACAGTTCCATGATATTCCAGGATTTTTCAAGATAAAAAAAATTCCCTGAGAATTCCAGGTTTTCCAGGTTTTATTAACCTAATAAATTTTCTTTAGATTTGAAATAAACAAAGGTACTTTTTTTAAAATTTCCTAAGTTTAAAACAAGTTCCATAGTATTCCAGGATTTTTCAAGGTAAAAAAAATTCCTGAGAATTCCCAGATTTTCCTGGGAGGAAATACCCTGTTTACATAAACCTAATAAATTTTATCTTTAAAAGTATATTTGAAAATAAATCAAAGGTACATTTTTAAAAAAATTCCCTAAGTTTAAAACAAGTTCCATGAGTATTCCAGGATTTTTCAAGTAAAAAAATTCCCTGAAATTCCAGGTTTTTCCCGAGAGAAACACCCTGTTTACATAAACCTAATAAATTTTATCTTTAAAAGTATATTTGAAAATAAAATCAAAGGTACAATTTAAAAAAAATGCCCTAAGTTTAAAACAAGTTCCATGAGTATTCCAGGATTTTTCAAGATAAAAAAAATTCCCTGAGAATTCCAGGTTTCCCAGGATTTTCCCGGGAATATACACCCTGATAGACGCATCTATAAAAAAAAATGCAATTATCCTGCACAAATTTTATCGACTTTGCGTTGACAGTTCCCTCGGACAATCGCGCAAAGGTCGGATGTAACGCAAACACACACACAATATACACCTTCATGACACAATGCGGCGAAAACGACGAG